GAGGGTTGCGATCCCGTTGTCGGTTCCCGGTACGGGCGCGACACTGAGGGTTGCGATCCCATTACCAGTCAGAAAAAAAAAAAAAAAAGGAAAAAAAAAAAAAAAAAAAAAAAGAAAATCTTCATATTAAAATGTTGGGGGAAAAAGATGTTCTATTGGGCCAAGGGAGAAAAGCACACCATTGTTTATGAACTCTAAGGTGAAGTGAACAGGCAGTTACATGATAACTCAGAATCTTCTAAAGAGGGTTTCTAAGTGATCTTTCACCTACCACACTGTTGTCCTTTGGGTTAATACGTAGTGTGTCCTGCATCTCAAAGCATCTTTCTTCTACTAGAAACTAGTTGGCTTTGAAGTCCAGCCTGGTGAAGAAGTGGCCATTTGGATTCCATCCAGTTAAGGGTAAGACAAAGGAAAGCTCTTAGGACCCTGCAATCAGGAGTACACGCCTATCTGCCCTTCCTCTCTGTCTCTCTCTCTCCTCTAAAGTACCCAAATCTCTTCCTCTAATTACGCTCCCTCTGGCCATAAAAACACTTAAGACACTTGCTGTAACTGCTGACTCATTTCTTTATTCCTCATATCCAAATTTTATGCACTGTTCCCCCCAAATGCTTCCCGTGGCCACTTATTCTCTTATCTTCCCAAGCACTGCCTCCCTAGCTTTTCCTTATTTTGGTATGTACAATCAGGTGCGTATTTTGGTACACTGCAATCAGGCCAAGCTTCTAAAACAAGTTTCCTGTTGCTACTCCCTTGCTCAGGAACCTTCCGTGGCCCCCTGCTGCCTGTGTGCACCGTCCGTACTCCTTCGCTAGTCTCATCTCCTATCGTCCACAGCATCTCATCAGGCTTCTTCCCTTCCACTCAAACCCATCTCCTCACTGTCTTTTTGTTTCATCTTTTTCTTTCCCTAGAATTTTTCCTTTTTTTCATTTTCTTGACTCTTTTCTTTAATTTTTCCCTTTCAACTAGCCCCACACACCTTTGGGCTATCTTACCCAAAAAACCTGTACATTACCATGAGAAGATATAAAAGAAAATTGGGACTTGGGAGAACACTGAAACACAAATATGTCAGCCAGAAGGCTGACTGGGCTGCTGCCATTGAGATTCAAGTTTAGCAAATATGTTTTCAGACAGCCGGAGTAAAAAGTGAGACGAGATGTACAGTTTCTATTTTTAAAGAGAAAATAGGGGCTGAGCCCGTGGCACACTCGGGAGAGTGCAGCGCTGGGAGTGCAGCAGCGCTCCCGCCGCGGGTTCGGATCCTATATAGGGATGACCGGTGCGCTCACAGCACTCACTGGCTGAGCACGGTGTGGCCGGTCTCAAAAAGGACAAAAAAATAAAATAAAATAAAATAAATAAAGAGAAAATAAAGGTTTCCCCTAGTTGTTAGGCCTAAAGGAAACTTCTACCATTGCATTTAATTTAGGAGGCACTAAGTGTTCAG